GTATGACTTACAAAAAAAAATAATGAAACTTATGTAATCAATCATTTAATAAATATTTTAAAATTATATATATATATATATATATATATTTTGACTGATGAACAATTCATGAAGAATAGCTAGGAAAAATGAAAGGATTGCGTTAAATACAAACATAAATGAATAATAAATGTTTATAAAAATTATAATGGAAATCAGAAAAAATAAAATAAAATAAGGATATATGAGAAAAAAGATGAATAGGTTTCTAACATTTAGGAGAAGCGATGTCATCAATATTGGTTTTTCATTTACACATATTAGTTATCTAAAGTATACTTTTTATTCGCAAGTAATGTCAGAGGTATCTTCAATCATTATGGAAATTCCATTGTCTCTGCGATTAATATCTTCCCTAAAAAAGAAAGGGGTAGTCAAATTGAAAAAAGAAAACCAGTAAAAAAACATGTTGAAGTTTGTTGAGGCCACATCATAGTTTATAGTATTTTCAAGATTTCATCATCGGACCATTATTGTCATAATATGTTTTTCATTTACACATTAGTTTTCTCAAAATATACTTGAAAAAAGATAATCATTAAAAAACATGTTGAAGTTTGTTGAGGCTACATCATAGTTTGTAGTACTTTCAAGATTTCATCATCGAACCATTATTGTCAATTTGTCATAACATTCCATCATCGACCATGTTGTCATCAAAACTCTAAAAGCGTTGTCAAGAACAAACTRYCGGTTTCCTTGAGGAAACTTAAGAAAATTATAGAAGAGAAAAGTAAAAAAAACAAAATCCCAAAATCCCAACAAAAATAAGAAGAAATGCATATYTGAATTAGTCTTGTCGAATAAACTTAAAAATAGATTTGTTGAAAAAGAATAAAATTTATGAAATAGAAAACAATTAAGTGATAGAGATGGAGAAAAAAAGATTGAATGATGAACAATTCATGAAGAAGAGCTAAGAAAAATGAAAGGATTGTGTTAAATGAAAAATCTTTATAGAAATTAGAGTGAAGATTAGAAAAAAAAAGATTAAAATAAGGATAAATGAGAAAAAAGATAATTTCTAACCTTTAGGAGAAATCATGTCATCAATCTTGGTTTTTCCTTTGTGAAAATATTTTTAAGAACATAATCAATTGTTTCTTGATAGCAATTTATGTCAAACTATATCAAGAGGAAGAGATTGAGAAATAAAGAGATGAAGAGATAAAAAGTTGAAGAAGGTAAATCAATTGCAATAATAAATAAAATAAATGTATATTAAGAAGAAGTTGAAAAGTCTATGGGGTTAAACTATCTTGAATGCTTATTAAAAAGTTGAATAATTTGTGAGGTTAAACTTAGTTGGATGCAAAATTACCAAATGATCTCATCTATTATGAAATATACAATTTGCTTGTAGGGGCATAATAGTCTTTAACTTAATTAGTATTTTAAAAAACCAAAAAAAGGAGAAAAAAGATAAATAAACTCCTAGCTTTTAGAAGAGGCCACATCATACATAATGATTTCTTCTTTAATATATATATAGATTAAAAAAATGTTTTTTGCTTATACATACTTGTATTATAATTTTTTTATTTATAAAAGCATGCAAAATGACCAAAATAACCTCACGTGGCTTGTACGTGAGGGGTATTTTGAGCATCTCTAACAGATGCCTCAAAATTTCTCTAAAATAGAGAACTGAAAGTTAAAATCTTCAAAAAAAATTACATTCATCTCCGACAGATTCCCATTTTGAAGAATCCAACATTGATAATAATATTAAAATATTTCATTCATATATTAAAACATTATTTATCTTTCCAGATATTTGTTTTCAAAGTTTCTTATTGATGGTCTCAATTGGTAATCATTTTTGGGGTATTTTTCATGTTTGGAGAAAAAACTCTTTTTTTCTTTTCTACTTTTTTTATTTTGGAGATAGTTTTGAAAAATCTGTTGGAGCAAAATTATGCCTTAAAATCCCCATTTTATCCATTTTAGAAAAGCAGTTGAAAACATTCTTAATGGCTTCCCCCAACATTTTTAACAATCAAGGACGAAATCCGTAACAAAATGCAAAAAGCAAGGTTCTTGGTGTAGTTATTGAAAACTATAAGGACGATTTTTGTGATTTACGCTTCTTTCTTTTACTTAGGTGTTAACACACAACTCCACAACCAAAGACGTGGAAACGCTGCAGAAGAGGAGGGGATAAGGACACCCTCAGCAACTTTGTTCGCCGCTCCGGTGATATCCATTTCCGGCGGTTCTAACATCTCCGGTGAGTTCTTTTCCTCACTTCGTTTTTCTTTTCTTCCCGCAATCGTTTATGTAAATTTTGTGAAACTGGATTAGTTTCTTGTGTTGGAAGTGGAATAAATTTTCAGCCATTTCGGAATGAGCAATTTGGTTCATTTGAATACAATGACATGCTTCGGAGTTCATCCGAAGCCAAACTTTCAGAATCAAGTAAATTTGTTTAGGATAAATCACCATCAATAATTTCTTACTGTTCATTTGTTCCTCTGCCTTTAAGATACAGAAGTGATGTACTCAGGTGTTTTTTTATTCGTAGAAATGGGAAGGGGGAGTGGTCCAATTGAACTGGCGGTCTTACCACCTAGATGCAGGGGGGATAAGATTCCAGTTAGGCATTTGATGATGATCAGCGATCTAATATGTCTTACTTGAATTACAAGTGTGTAAAATTGGGCAAATGCTGATTCACTTGCAGTGGTTCCCTTTTGAGATTAGGGTTGTTAACAGTTAACTAGGAGTGTTGCTGTGGCTGATTGACAATTGTACAGTTGCTATATGAAACAGAGATTTTATCTCTCTCTAAGACTTCTTGCTTCCTTGAATTCTAGTCCTGAAATGTAGTATCATACCATGATAAACATGCTTGTTGGTTATAAAGTGTGAAAAGATTTTTTGAGGATGATTCAGTAACATTATCTAGCCATGCCAACGGTCATTAGATGTAAACCCCATTAACGAGCTCAAGCAATCACAACAAGCGAGCACCAAGGATGAGAAGAAAAGGAAGTTTGAGTTGGTGAAAGGTTGGGCAATGTGTAAGTGTGCTTAAAGAGGGAATAAGATGGGGGTTTCAAGAGGCGAACTAGGCTCTCTTAGAGAAGCTATAAGAATAGCAGGGGTAGAAGAGGCCAACAATGAGGTTGAGCTTAAAAATATTATGACAAAAAGGGGCCTAGACATCAATTTGAAGTGGACTTTCGTGGGTATTGATGTAGTCTTGGGAATTATGTGCTTAAGTAAGCAACTTGGGTTGCTAAATTTGAGTTCAAATAATTTGAAGTGATGTAGTCTTTAGGGGTTCTGTGTTTAAGTAAGCAATTTGGGTTGTTACCTTTGAGTTCAAATATTTTAAATGATCCTTCTAAAAGAATGACCAGGCAATGGTGTTACTAAGGAATGAAAAATGTGGAACACAGTATTCAACTACTTGTTCCAAGTGAATTTGGCAAAACCATAGCTCACATTGGGTAGCAGGTTGTGTGTATAGCATTTGTATGATTAAACAGGAGGGGAAAATCTTAACATGTTGTCATTTCTTAAAGAATTTGAGAGATTGCTCTAGGAACCCACTGAAATACCCCTTTGACAAACGCATGGCCATCTCATCAACTTGAAGGAGGGTCTCAACCCATTAGCCAGCCATTCTTATGTCTAGAAAACTGAACTTGGAAGTATAGTATGTGAAATCTTAAGCTTTTCCTGCATATCAATAACTCGTGCATTCCTCTTGTTGTTAGTCAAGAACATGATGATACCTAGACAAGGCATGTAGACTATAGGTGTTTAAAGATTATTTCTCAATTCCAACCAATGTCGAGCTGCTAGATGAGTTAAATGCGGCAAAGTATTTTTTTTCTAAACTTGATCTGAGATTTGGGTACCTTCAGATTTTGGTGAGTGAAAAGGATATTCATAAAACTGCATTTAGAACCCATTCAGGCATCACGAATTCTCCAATCACTTCTTTTATGACTTGTTGATAAACTTGATAACCGTTACTAGTCTTCTTAGCAAATGCTCCAACCAAGTGGCCTTTGGACCAATAGTACCACCTAAATCTCTACAATCCTTTTTTTTATTAACCTGGATATCCAACCTGCTATGCGAGC